GTCTACAGTTAGATCGGGAAGCAAATCAACATATTTAAATTCAAATAATGTAAATTTATGGGGATTTGAAGAAATATTTGATATTGACATCACCGTCAGTGTCACACGTGTCAATCTCCTCGTCTATTTTAACGAAAAGACGCAACGGAATGTCCTTAAATGAGATATCCTTTTAAATACACTTTTGAGTGTGAGGAATCCTTATACCATTAACAGCTCGACCTCTACAATTTATGTAAATATGTTTGTTTATTATTTTTTTAACTGAGGAAAATTTGAATTTTATAAATATTTTCTAAAATATTTATTTAATTGATGATTTCACACCACACCTGTTTAATGTTTAACCTTTAATCGATTATATAAGAATGTTCGATTATTACACATAAAAATATTATTAGAACCATTCCCGTTGCCACACTCCCACTATATGTTACCTCGTTTTCCTCAATTACGATGAATCACCGAACAAAAATGATAAATTTAATAAATTAATGAAATTTAATTATTTATTTTTCTCCGAAAATAGGCATTTTAACTACTTGCATCAAGAATATTCTTTGGCGTTTCAAACGACACCTATGTTATAAGGTGTCCCAAAAAAAACGATATTTTTTTCGTGTCTCTTGAGAAAATATCATGTTTTAAGAGACCCCTCAAAAAATCAGCTCAAAAAATTTGTTTAAAGGTCGCTCAAGATTTTTAAAAATTTCTAAAATCGTCAAAAATTGAATTTAAAAAAAATTTTTTTTCTCGTTATTTTATCATTTTCTGGGTTGAAAAAAATCTCGATTCTGAACATTTCAAATCGATATTTTAATTTCTAAAGGTCACTCATAATTATTTTAACTCAAAGTAGTGTACCTAAAATGTTTTCGAGCGACCTCTAAAAATAAATATCAACGAACTAATAATTTTTTTTATTGAATTTGACGAACAAAAGAATAGAAATAAATCACGAGACACTTAAATTTTAAAATTAAAAAATTATAAATATTTGATACATTTATTGCGGTAGTAAATTTTGCCTCCAGAAATTTTTTAAGTGTCTCGTGATTTATTTCTATTCTTTTGTTCACCAATTTTTGACGATTTTGGAAATTTTTTTAAATCTTGAGCGACCTCTAAACAATTTTTTTTGAGCTGATTTTTTGAGGGGGCTCTTAAAACATGATAAACTAACATATTTTCACAAGAGACACGAAAAAATTCCTATTAAAAAAATATATCAAAAAACAGAAGAAGGAATAGCTTACATTCATATTTGACTTCCCTGAAACTGTCCCATTTTGAGATTTACTGAAATATTTAAGAAAAATTAGAGTTTAAAAAATTAATAAACGATTTTTTTAGAACTTTTAACTTTTTAAGGAGGCAAAATTGTACTAATATAAAATAACTAAATCTATTTATTTATTCACCCAAGAAAGTTACCCTTAAATATGGCCAACTTTGTAACAGACGCACTGTATACAGGGTGGAACTAAATTCCTTGGACAAATTTTAATTGTAGATTCTGTTACAAATTAAAAACTATATAATTATATACAGGTGTAGCTCATTATGAACAAGGATACCATTCACGGATTTTTCTTGTTTATATACAGGGTAGTTCATAATTGTAAGGCGCACAATTTACTGCAGTAATTTGCATAGAAAACTATGAAAAATGTTTCAATAAAATTTTGGTCATCCTATTTACGGATGTCAAAGGTCAAAAATAAATTTCTAATTTTTTAATAAAATCATCATTTTTATAAATATGAAATTATTAGGTTTATTTCGTATAACCTTTTTTTAGAAATAATTGCCTTTTCTTGACAGAAAAACCTATTGTACATTTTGATTATAGTGTACAATTTTAGAGACACTTGCAATTAGTACACATTTATTAGTATTATCGAAAACATAAATCAGTAGCGTAGATTTGGGAGCATACCTATCATTTTTATAAATAAAAAGTTATAAATCAGGGTTTTTTAGACAATTTGTACAATTTTTCGAAATAACGGGTTTTTTTATTTGCAAACGGAACCTTTCATAAATTTCTAGTAATTGCAATATTTTTAATAAAAGATTTATTTCGAAAAAATTGAACCAGATTATTAAAAAAACCTTGAACTTATAATTTTGTATTTATAAAAATGACACTGCCCCTATATCTACGCCATTGATTATTTTATAATTTAAGCAGTAGTTCTTATTCTGCAAATTTCAAATTGTATTTTAGAAAGCAGGGCCGTCCTTTTGTAAATACGCCCAAAGGAGCAACATTTTATTGAGAAAATTTTCATAATTTTCCAGGCTAGTATTACAGTGTACTTTGCTACATATAATTATGGGCCACTGTGTATTTTTTTTCAAGAGATTTATTAGGAAACTACTTTAGGGATTTTTAAAGTAAATAGTCGAATGTAGAGTATTTTTTATACGAGCTTAAAATTTTAATTTTATTAAGGTTCCGTATCAGATTAAAAACATTGCTGATTATAAATAAGATCCGTTTATAATATAACATAATAATAATTTATAAACATACTCTCCTATTTACCACATCAGTGTCACTAACTGTCTAATTTTTCATCCACAGACATTTCTATTGTCTTACAGATTTTTAAATTAAAGCACAAGCTTATTAAATTTAAACAAAAAAAATATTCTGCAATATAAATTGATGTAATTTAAATTAACGACGTAATTCTTTTCATTAAGATACTGGGATATTAAGTGATGCTAATTAAAGTTAAGTAGACATATTTTTAATACAAAAGTCCCTAAAGTGACATTCTCAGAAATTGGTCTCAAAAAAATCACAGTAAGCCATGAACTGCCATCTGAATCATCATCATAATTGGTTCAACAAGTACATCTTCGTTTTTGAGATACAGGCTGTTATTTTAGCTGCAACCTGTACAATTCCATAATTATTCGGTAGGAAAAAAATGAAAGGCACTTTTACAGCCGTGGACAATAAAAGACAATAAAATTTAAATCGGGATCCTGATGACGCTCTGTTATGTAAGGAGCAGGTGTGTTTACTGGGTTTTATATTCAATTATATTTGACAAATTACGCTTATAAATAAAATTATATTTTCTACGGTTAAGATTTATAATTTAGTATATACTTTAATTTGGAATCCGACATTGTCTAATTAGAGACAGACTGAGGAGCACTTTTTTCATTGTAAAATGGACAAAAAATAACCATTTTATCAATATCAATTTTTATTTAATGAAGAGATCCATTTCTGTACAATGGTAAAACCGACAAATTAAAAAATAATGGATATAAGATTTTGAGCATCAATATCGGCGCAATCAAAAGAAATACTGCAAGGCAAGAATTTTCCAATTTTTTTTTTTTCAGTTGCACATGGGCTCAGAAAATTTTTTTCTGCTTTTATCAATGCCAGGGTCATTTAGCCTGTTTCATCAGCTCCAATTTGTTTTTTTTTTAATTTCTGTATGATTATTTCTCATTGATATATCGGTTTCTGAGTGAAAAGTCACCTTTTTTATCATCGATATTTCACGAATTAATGATCGTACAACGAACGGAATTTGAGTTTTAAAAACCCGAATAAATCCTTTTCAAGGGCCTCTTGGTATGTCTGAGAAAAAACAATTTTTTATACTCAGCAATTTGAAAAAGTGCAAAAAATACTTCTTCTGCTGTTTTGGAAAATCGACGACTACTTTACAAATACACCAACGCAAAAAATTAAAGGGTCAAGTGAATAACCGAAATTTTTCCGTGATTTTTGACAGACTGTATTTAGGTGAAAAATGGTCGTAAAACATTTTGAAGCTCTAAGATTCTTGTTTTTAGATCTTTTGGTAAACATTTTTTAGGAGCTATATACAATTCTAAGAAATAGCGTGACAAAAAAATTTTGCAATTTTTTTTTTATTATTTTCCACGGACTTGGAAATTTTTTTTCAGCTAAGCCATTACACGGACCGGATAGCTTGTTTATTCAGCTTCAATTTCCATTTTTTTTAAATTTCGATACGACCATTTTTCATCGAAATGTTGGAGTAAGGTTGAGCTTAAACACTTAATTATGATTAAAAAGGGAAAAAAATGTTTGAGGTTTTTTCACATTTTTACCGCAAATAACGTTTAAATTGATGATAAAAAAAATTATGACCATTTTTTTTTTTTCAGAGAACAAAAAGGGTAGTTTTGAAAAAAACTGTTCTTTAAGTGATTACAGACTGCACAAAAATTAATTAGAAATTTGTCTCAAAAAACGGTATGAATCGGGGTCAAAATCTGGTTTGGGTCATCAATTTTAATTTTAATTTAATTAAAAGTTGATGAACAGAAGCAATAGGACGGAAAAGCCGAATCGTGCTGGAAACAATTGGATTTTGTTTTCTTCAATGTCCAGAAGGTTTTCCAAAAAAAAAAAACTTCAACTATTAATAGCATTAATTAAGCTAGAAAAAAATTTTCTGAGCCCATTTGCAGTTTTGAAAAAAAAAACAAAATTATAAAATTTTTGCCTTGCATTATTTCTTTTGATTGCGCCGAGTGGTACTCAAAAAAAAATTTATCAACATTTCAAAACTAGAATCTTCAAACTTCAAGATGCTTCTTTTTTTCCTTTCAAAAATCACTAAAAAATTTTGGAAATTTTACAGTTCCTTCAATTTTTTTGCCGAGTTTATTAAAACCATATTGCGATAGCAAACAATGCGCCTGTTCGAGGATTTATAAATAAACGGAAAAAGAACACCAAAATATTGGATCAGCGAAATTAGGCGAAGCCTAAACCCTAAACAACAAAGCCACATTTTACACTGAACAGTAAGCGTCGGAAACATTTTATCGTCCACAGCTGTACGCATAAACTAGGCCGCCCTGTACACCGCCTTCGGAGCACGACACTGCTGACGCGCCGCAGGCCGCACAGTCACAAAATTTCACCTACGGAGACGCGCGTCCGAACGACCCGGAGGGCCTACCACCGAAATGAAAGAAGCGGTACCTACCATCTTCGTGTCGCCCGACTCCAACGGGGCAGGTCTGCGGCAGGACACTTCACAGAACAATAATCGTGCAGGTGTTAGGGGGGCTCTTTTATATTATCAAAACGAAGGTAAGCTAGTTGCAAAACTCACCTCCTACAATCTCGGGCTCATCTTCGGAGACGGTCCGCATCTCATTGTACCTCTTCTACGGCCGGCGGGGTTTTTTATTCCTCCTCTGCCGAAACGCTATTGATCGGCGGGCCCGTAATGGCCCCTCTGACACGGTGACCGTGCTGACACAAAGGCGGTGAGTGCCGTTTTATTACCTTATTAACCCTTCGTGTTCATTGACATCTTTGCCTCTTTTGCGCTTCTTTTTCCGAGGCAGCTAACCATCGAGTCCGTTCAGTTCTCTGCCGAAGAATTATCTGAGAAAGAGGCCGTTCCGTTTGTTAACGTGTAACAATAGGCCGCCCACTCCTACGCACAAATATCTATTCTAGACTAATCTCTCGTACTAGATTAATTCTCGTAGGTAAAAAGGAAGCGGAGATATAATTTTGACAGAAAATCGACAACTAACAATCGACAATCATCATCAATTATTATTGATGCAAATTTTAGTGTGACCACACCACAACCATAGCAAAGGGTACTCCAAGAAGGTCAATTGTTTTGAAACAATGTTGTTGCATGTCTGCCATTTCCGTGTTTGAATACGACTCCATTTTATGAGTTGCAATAATGTTGTATACTTAAATTTTCCACTCACCACGTTTACTAATTAAACACTGCAAAGCTCAATTGACAGTTTATCAATAACTTAAATTGTTAAGCGTTGTGGCAACGTCAGTCTTTTATTTGCCATGGTAAACAGATTTTTGTAATTTTTGGCCTAATAACTTAAAGAGCAGAGTAATTTTCAAACTCAATTTACTCGAAAACCATTGGAAATATCGATTTGGACAAAGATAATATTTTTTACGTAAAATTGTTAAGATTTTATAAATCTGTAGAGAAAATTGTAAAAAAATTGAAATAAAAAAAATTACGGGCCGAAAACCCCCTTCACCAACCTAAATGGGACGCATATGATTTGCATGTCGAAAAACGGAGTAGCCCATGTTATTTAACGTAAAAAGTTATGTAAGACCCATAAATTTTTTTCTATTTATTTGCGACCGTTTTGTCAATAACAGAAAAAAAAAACAGTTTTGTTTGAGCCCTTTTAAGGGCATATAACTTCCTAAGGGTGCGTTTTAGGGCACATGTTAATAGGAACTTTTTGGCTTATTTTAATGAGTTATAAACGCAGCAGAAGTTTGGAACCCTATTTTAGAAACACCCCGTACGTAACAAAAACATAAAAATAAAACATGATAAATTGTTCGACTTAAATTATTAAAACTAAAAATATATATTCTAATATACAGGGTGTCTCATAATTAGTGTCCAATAATATACCACTTGATTCTATTGCCAAAACTAGGAATATTTTTTCATATAAACATAGGTCGAGAAATGGTGCCTCAAACGCTTATTAAAAGTCGAAATAGATCATAAGATTTTTCAAAAATTTTGATCAGCGGCGTTTCAATTGGGGGCGGGGGGAGGTCGCCGGCTAAAATTTGCCTGAATTTTTTTGCTTGTCGAAATTTTGAAATTCAGAGGCCATCATATGTCGACCTTCATTTCCTCTACAAAAATAGTACTCTTTATTTCTTTCGATAAAATGCTCCATTTCCAAGGAAAACGGATTTAAGTATTTAGAAAAGCACAATTTGGAAAATGTTATAACACATTTGAACCGATTTTTCTCGATAACGGATTACTTTTTCGATATAAAACAACATTACCATTTTTAATAGAAAACTCAGATCTGTCAAATTTTACTGTTTAAATTTGAAAATAGCAACAATTCTGGGGCAAATTGTACCCGAGTCCCTCCCTCTCTTTGGGCCGCCCATAACAAACTTTTCTAAGAACTTTTCACGTTGTTTATTACAATGTATAATGATATGATGATATATCAAAGTTCATAATGGTACATATACCTATTTTAGCTATTCAAGAAATTTTTTTTGAATTTTATTAATACATGTAATGAAATGTTTAAATCCGTTTTTCTCGAAAATGAAGCATTTTATCGAAAGAAATAAAGAGTACCTTTTTTGTAGAGGAAATGAGGGTCTATCATATGTTGGCACCAGAACTTGAAAATTTCGACAAAAAAATTGAGGCAAATTTTAACCGACGACCCCCCCCCCCTTTTGACACGCCCTGACAAAAATTTTTGAAAAATTTTATGATATTCGACTTTTAATCAGCATTCACGATGTCAAAATTCATGAAATATTAAAAAAATTAATTTTTTGAGGCCCCATTTAGGGGGGCGTAGCTGCCTTAGGAAGCATTTCTCGACCCATGTTTATTTAAAAAAATATTCTTATTTTTGGCAATAGAATTAAGTGGTAAATTATTGGACACTAATTAGCAAAAGCTACATTTTTTCATTAAGTAAATAATAAATATAATTAATTAAAAGAACACAACACAACTATAGAAACAAAAAATATATTAAGTAAAAAAGAAATTTAAAAGTAAATCTACTAATAATACGAAATTGAAAAAATAATAAGTTAATATATAGGGTAATTCAGAACATACCCAAAAAAAATTTTTTTATGTAAATACAATTTTGTAAAAAAAATCAAAAAGGGCAGTTCGGAAATGATCCACTGTCCACTGTAAAACCTGATCTTACGCAAGGCAAAGCATGTAGTCGGCGACCGGCACGGCGACAAAGTGTAATAAAAAATGAACGAACAAAAAATTTAAAGAATTTCTTTCCTAGGGAAAAAATAAATAAAATTTTATAACACCTAAATTTAACTGCTTTTTCGGCTATTGTTATTATTAATTAATAAATTAAATTAATTTGTGGTTTTAACATGGGCGTAGCGGCTAGAATTTTTGTTTAGATTTTTGTCCACGGCTGCACACTGTGGAGGCCTCTAAAATGAAAAAACAATAAAAAAAACCTTCAAAAACACTTTTTTGTTTGATTATTAAAAAAAGGGTTAACAGCAGCAACAATTAGTAAGGGCCGTGGTACGCCTATGGGTTTTAATTAATAAAATAATTTGACGTAAGTCGTTTCTGACGGTTGAAAAACTAATGTAAACACTATCGTAACAACGATAATACTAAAATCGGATCTCAGTATTTGGAATCGCCTGGGGTCACGTGGGTGAATGACACTAGAGACTACAGTAGTCTAGCGATGTTAAGGTTAAAAATTGAATATTGAACTTCAATAATTTTTTTCTCGGAAACTAAGGATTCTACAAACAATTTTTTACAATCCTGACTCCATCTATCATGACGCATCTATTCCCAAATTTTTTTGGATAAATTGTGAATCACCCTGTATTTTGCAGTAACTTTTTTCTAAGTTTTACATAATCGACATTCTAAATATCTCAAAACATATGTAAGATAAAAACTACCTGAAACTGAAAACTATCTAAGCTGACTGCAAATGGTATTTCAATTTGTAATAAAAAATAAACGTCAAATTTGGAACACGATGTATTTTACTAAATTAAGAATTATTTGCATCAACGTCTAGATTTTTACAATAAAAATAATTAGAAATAAAATGTTGCTAAGTACAATAATCCTGGTTTGAAATAGAGAACCCACATATACGTATATTGGACATTTCTATTTGCATTTTTAATACATCTACTTTTATGTAACTTAATTTACTAAACTGGCTGGAACCGTAAAAACAAGAAATAAGTTAGATGAAGCAACTATTGCAAGTCTTCTTAACTTCAAGAGAAACTACAAATGTAGCTGTTCTGAAAAATGTTCTTCAACTTGTTTCGGGAAGAAAAATACTTAGGAAACTTTTTATATGAGGATAATTATTATTACTTGATTCACGCACAATATTTGAATTGATACAAAAATATTTTTGAAATTTTTACGGGCTAGTTGAAAAACGTTGTGAAAACATCAATGTTATTTGAAACGTTTAATTTAATGTTTACATTCAGGGAAAGCACGTAATAATTAAGCGCACCGTCTTATATAATACTTCATAAAACAATAATTTTATGTCACAGCACGATTGTTACCAGCAACTTTTTACGCTACATTTGGTACCCATCCTATAGTCGTAGGTGGTTAACACTTCTGTGTAACTGCAAACATTATTTTTCGCGAAAAAAAAATAGAAGGTATGTACAGGGGAATTTTCTTCGTGGTACAAAGTCTAAACCTATTCATCAAGCGAGGTGTTACAGCTTTAAAAATAAAAAGCCATGTTAACCGACATATTTCACAAATTAACATCTGTGTGTGACAAAGTTAAATGAAGTATTTTTATGAGTGTATACATTTTTATGACCAAGTTGAATGTTAGTAAACGACTTTGGCCATGAAAAATTGTTTTGTCCATTAGTTGTATTTTTGTAGGTGTTTTGCAAGTTGGTTTTCAATGACTAGAATCAAAACTACAATCACATATTTTTTTAGTCACTAGTGAAATAAAATAATTATAATTTAAACAATTCAAACATGGATCAACTAACTATTTATAAATCTTTATATTAAAATGAAAAGTTGTATTGTGAAAAAAAGTTAAAATACGTGGAAGATAAAATTATATACGTACGAGGCATATCCACAAAGTAAGAGTAGGTACATAATTTTTTTAAAATCGAAACGGCAGTATATTTATGAGAAATTTAACTTTGTAAAAAAAATCGCCCGCCGCCTCTTAGGCCCGTTATTTCACGTCACTGTGGACCTCATCGTCGGTAGAAAAGCTTTTTCCACCCATTAACACCTTCAGAAAAGAGAAAAGATAAAAATCAAGAGGTGCCAGGTCAAGGCTGTGAGCGGGATGTTCCAACCGAATGAATCCAAGAGTTGTTTTGTGGCGTTGTCCGTCTGGGGACGTTCATTGTCATGCAACAAGCACACTCCTTTCATTAATTTTCCCCTTCTTTTGTTCTGTATCGCCCTCCGTAGTGTTTTCAAGGTTTAA